CTTATTTCTGCTTTAAAACCAAGCCCAGAGTGTCTGCCCTGGAACAGCCGTGTGTCTAGTGAGGGGGAATCGAAAGCTCTCCAAAATTTAGTTTAATTATGGAAGGCAAGACCTTGCACTGAGAGCCAAATGGAATGGTAACTATCAATTGGGTACAGTTAATCCACAGAGACACAAATAGGAATCATCACAGAACAAACATAAGGAGACCACAACTGAAGACTTTTTGCAAGAGGAAAACAAACCCACACTCACGTATTTCATTCATACACTTCTTACTACATTTCTTTCATTACACTTACTGCTTATGAATGCTGTTCTGTTTTTTAAGGAGAAACATATGCTTACTCTTCTGTAAAGTTACAGTAACACAGCTTTGCAGCTCCTCTGGTATTATCTGTCTTTTGCATATTATGCATATCATGCATAACTATTTGCTTTCGTTTTCTTGATTAGTTCTGGGGTTTACAACTCAGTGTTCTGGCCACTATAGCTGTAAAATACTTTGAATTTCAGAACAACCTTTTCATTTTTTAGATTATGATCAAGGGCCGTACCAAAAAGAAGACAGAAAAGAAGCATACAGATATTTGTGGAAGTTCAAGCATGTCACAAAGATTTATGATTGATAGTGGTGTGGAAGTTACCTATTGGTCTCTGATGAGATAATCATCTTAGAATTTATTTAGACGTTCAAAGTAAGAAAATGAAATCATAAAAATACATGCTTAATATTCTTATTGGTGTGTTTCATTCTAGTGAAGCATTAGCCATGAGAAAGCAATAAATATTTGCAAACAGTTGTAAGTATTTTTTTAATTATTACCTGAAAAGTTGAGGTCTTTTCTCTGTCAATGGCACGATGTACATACACATGTCCATTTGCATCATCTGCTATAGAAAACAATCCAATCTCTGGAGATTCATCCACCCCAGGTCCACTGATTAGGTATTTTACTGATGTATTAAATGATTTGTTATTGAACAGCTTTTGAAAAGAGAAGTAACACAATGCAGTGTGAGTTAGGAAGATGGAATAGAAATAAAATTACTTAGACTAATTCTCTTCCTGCCCATCTTCTCTTTGTAGAAGGGTCCTTGCTTGCAAGCTTGGTCCCAGCCAATTTAACAGCTTTCTGGGCTGCAGCATCACTACTCTCTGCACAATGTGCAGGTGCAATGACTCTCTTACCTCTCCCACTCTGTTGGCTTCTTTCCCTGAGTATGCCTGCAGGTTCCCATAGAAAGGAGCATACCCCCCCACACACAAAATTCTACCCAACTGTGTAAATAAAACAACTTTGAACAAGTAAGATTTTTAAAAATTGCTGTTTGATACAATGCTCTTGCCCTCTCCTACCTTTGGTGTTTTACTGTACAGTCTGTGGTGATGAATACCTTACTGATGTTCAAGAAAAACTTTTACTAAAAGGTTGTTTGTACCTGTCCAGCGTATTTTGGGAATGGTCCTTTGTCCTCCTCTTGAATATCAATCGTGGTAACAACCCAGGTCCTTTTTGTACGCTGTAGAGGACGTAGACTGGCTAACTGATAAGAATTTAGCCACTGTGGGATAAAGAAGTGTAGTTAGTGTCATAGTTCGCATATTAACAGTTGCATACCTGTTGTTATATAATATTGACTACAAACCTGAATACTCTTCTTTCGGATGGCTTGTTTTAAACTGAAATTTTCAATTTCATGAGAAAAACTGTTGGCAGCCATAACCTTGGGGGGAAAAAAAAAAAAAAAAAAAAAAAAAAAAAAAAAAAGGTTAACTAGAAAGCGTTGATAGGTTGTCTAGGAGGAAACATATTGATCCAGTTTTGACAGCACTGTATTAAATTGGATCTAACCATGGAAACCACAAATATCATCCATCTCATTCCAAGTGAAATGGCATGGGACCTTGAATACTAATTTCTCTGGTCAGGTGATACCAGTCCCAGAAACACACAAACACAATGTCTAACAATCCATGGTATTATCTCTGTGGCTTTTCTCAAGCCACATATCTCCAATTTTTAAAACATTCACCTCTGTCTCTCTGTGTCTAGTGCTCCTTTAGAAGTTGGGTATTAACAGGCCATAAACCTATTGCTGGAAAAAAATTAAGTCTGGGGAGTATTTCAGGTTTGCAGAGACTCAGTGATGTGACACAAGTGTTCCCAAACCTAGCTGATTTACCAGAAGATGAACACTGGACCTAAGTCTCTAATCAAGATGAGTAAATTAAATTGTTGAGAACAGTGACTGCACCCCGGCTGCCAGGATTTGCCCTTTTATAAACACTGCTTTTGACTTGAAATCTTGCACCACAAAGGAGTATGACAGTATTCAAATTTCACTATTAACATCAGCTCACAGGTAACTTGTACACCTTCCTCCTAGTTCTCACTGCTTTCACTGGAAACCTTGGGGATTTATGACTCATTCCATCAAATATTTCCAGTGGCATTTAAAAACTGAACAGAGCTCCTCCTGCCTAGACATGGGCAAAGGTTGGGCCTTTACCCCATGACCTTTTTCCGAAGAAACAAAATACTTATAAAATTGCTACGGTTATAAACTTTCCGAGCGATGGGGGTTCGCTTGCTGGTGATGCCTTGGAGCTACTCTGTAAAGCTGTTGTATAACCCGGGGAAAACCTCTGCGATGTAAAAACAGCAAGCAAGGCTGTCACCTGGCACTCGCACCTAGTATTTATTAGTTTTGTTCAGGTTCAGCTCCTCTGACCCCCCCCGAACGAGCTGCTTTCCCCTCATGTGCATGTGTAGCCGCTTTTAATTATAGTGGAAGCTTTAATTGTGTATTTTACAGCTTCCACGCTCCTCCCCGTGCACCAGTCGCACAGCAATGGCTCAGCCTCTTGCTGTGTCCGTTCCGGCCTCGGGCACCGCTACAGGGAACGACCCAGTCCGGGAGCACGAACCCCCCAGAAATGCCAGGGAATTAGTGGGGGGCTCATTCATCCAGCAAGGTCAGCCCAGGCACCAGCGCGCTCCGCCAGGCGTGAACGTCCCGGTGCCCCCGGCAGGAGGAGCGGAGGGTCCCGGCTCCGGGGAACCCCCCCAGGAGGGAGACACACACACAGACACACACACACAGAGACACACACACACACAGAGACACACAGACACAAACACACACACACACAGAGACACACACACACACACACACCCCTTCTCCTGTCTC